ACAGTCACGGTCACACACTGCATGTGGTTTTAAAAGCAACATGTCTGTTCACCACAACAATGGAGATGTGTAATATTAGTGCAGCTACGGTTTGTTCTTGAACATCAGTTCTGTTTTCTACTTTGATCACTTAGACCAATTGGCTTCAGTTGAGGTATTATTTCAGCTTTTCTAATGCTAATCAGCTGCTCCTGTTTGTAAACCCGCTTGTTCCCATGATTACGCATCTTAACTCATCATCATTATTCATCTATGTATTACTTTTATGTATTAGTCATCTATTTGTTGTAATCATCTATCCTTGCAGTTGTTTATTACACAAAATAAATTATATTATCACACTTCTGGCCACATAGCGCTGATATTCACTGCACATGCCCATATTAACCTTAACCAGAGGGTTTAAAAAACAAACCAGTGTTTACATACCATATCTGCTTCTGCCGTGGCCTGGTGGACAAGAAATTGGTTAAGGGTTCCCCGAGCTTTAGTGGAAAAACTGAGTAAGTATACCCTGAGTTAACGAAAACTCTGGGTCTTCGGTTTCACAAAGCGAGTTCAGCTGCAGCCTGACTGAGTCACTATGACGACACACGCCGTGAAGCTAACCTGCCCCCTAGCAGGTTTACTACAACTAACCCTGACTGTCTCCGCCCCTTTGTCGGAAACCTGACAGTAGGAAGTGTCAGACATGGCGTGCTCCTTCCTTGAAGAGCCGGTAGATATCGAAGCCCAAATTCTCCGCAGAGCTCTCCGCCGGGAGAGAGTGATTCGAGCGCGTCTGGACATTTTATCATTACCTGATGAGTTTCTGTGCGAACGTTACCGTTTCTCAGCACAATCTATAAGTTATTTGGATAACATCCTCAGGCCATATATTACGCATGTGACACATCGCGGACATCCTCTCAGTTCTGTACATATTATTTGTACCGCACTCCGTTACTTTGCAAACGGGAGCTTCCTGTACAATATCGGTGACGCTGAGCACGTTTCTAAGGCTACCGTCTGTCGGGCAGTCAGGAATGTCACAGTAGCACTGAAACGTCTCCTGCACGCGTTTGTGGTGTTCCCCGGTCACAGACCCACAAGATTCATCAAAGAGGGATTCCACAAAATTGCAGGTATCAGGAGGACCTAAACGTAATGTATGATGTGGTGATACGTGAACTACTACTTATATGGTACATAAATTTACAGGGTTCCCAGGCGTGATTGGCTGTATAGATGGCACCCACATCCCAATCATTGCACCCTCAGCAAATGAAGGAGACTTTGTGAACAGGAAGTCCTTCCACAGCATCAATGTACAGGTACATAATTCCCTGTAGCATTTCACACCAACAAGTGATGGCATCATGGTAATGGATGCTAATATGTGTTCTCTGCACTGTGTAGATCATATGTGATGCTGCCAACATCATCACAAATGTGGAAGCCAAGTGGCCAGGCTCTGTCCATGACTCACGGATCTTCCGGGAATGTACACTGAGCAACAGATTTGGACATGGTGGGTCGAAGTAACTGTGAAATATACAGAGACCAATTGCCACAGGGACGTTTGCACTGACATGTATTCTTCTGTCCTAGGAGAGTTCACTGGCCACCTGCTCGGTGATAGGGGGTACCCATGTCTACCCTATTTGCTCACCCCTTACCCTGACCCTGAACCGGGCCCACAGCAGCGTTATAATCTGGCCCATTGCAGGACACGGGCCAGAGTTGAGATGACCATCGGAATGCTCAAGGCCCGGTTCCAGTGCCTTCGTGGACTCAGAGTCACCCCAGAAAGGGCATGTGACATCATTGTGGCATGTGTGATCCTACACAACATTGCCACGATCAGAGGTGAACAGTGTCCAGCTGAACCAGACGACAGCAGTGATCCACATGATGAACATCCTGACCCACCCACGAACGTACAGGATGGGAGAGCAGTCAGAGACACCATATGCCACAACCATTTCCTGTGACCCGGCAACCCAACATGTCACAAGACAAATACACAGATACTGTGGTCAACTTGCTTTATTGCTCACCCTGTATGTCCTGTGCACAATGAATAAATGCGAATATTAGTATGTTGTACAAACACTGACATGATTCGTCCATCTATGATCACTCCACCCACCCTTAACTGTTGTTCCAGCAGTACAATCTCCAGCTTCGACTTCTGGATCTGCAGCTGGAGGTGCACCATTTCCATATCACATTTCCTTATCTTCCTGGCCAGATATGTTCTATACAGCTGCTTCACAGGGAGCTATTGCAACAAAGGACATAGCATTGGCATCCATAGTACATGCCTACTTAGGTTGGTTGTGAATGTGTGCTGGACAACCCACTGAGGAAAGGTTCGTTGTAGGAGTGGCTGGACCCTCTTCCCCCTCATTTGCAGCATCACCCTGCCGGGGACATAGTAGGTCCATGGTGTCATCATAGTGCCACATTGTAGTCAGTTGTTATATTTTCCACTGTACACTGTATACCTCATAGTGTGGCTCTGATGCGGCCTCCTCTGTAGCAGCTGTCACTGTGTCGTCATCATATGCCTGTGGTGGGGACATTTAACAACATTGCTGTTCCACTGTTGACACATGTAGTCTGTGGAGTATTACGAGTACTCACAACTGCATGTCGGTCTGGCTCAACAGGGGGCTGCACCAGATGCAGTACACCATCACCGTCAACTGGGGGAATATGGGGTTCATACAGGTCACTCATGACTTATGTGGGCGCAAATGGCAATTACCAGACATACCAATCACCATACACCTCATTGTCAGTATGCTCTCAGAGACAACCGACACTGAGGGGGGGCAAGATCAGTAGGTGTCAGGGTGGAAACGCCTTTATGAGCTCTATGTTGCATTGAGGTATATGTTCATATGTTACACTCATTGGGGAGGGTACGGAATGTACTACTCGCTCTGTCTCTTGGAACAGGGAGCTCACCCTGTGGGGGGTTAACACACACACACGTATGCAAAATTGACGGACACCGCTATGCACATAATAGAGACGTACCACTGCAGCTCGGTGTGTGTGGGTCTCTCCCTGGGCCCTCACCCGTGCAGCACGTTGACAGTTTCCAAGTGTCTCAGTGTTGTCTATTCACCTAACTGTTTGATGACTGTCATTCTCTGTCAGTAGGACAGTAACTGCACTACGACATAGTTCATATTGGTCAAGGTGACTGTGCAGAATGGATGTATGCACGCCATGTATTGTTTTGGATTTACCCCTTATGTAGGCACTTGTGTCTTGTGGGTTTGTTGCCACAGAGGATGTCCCCGCAGAGATGCCTTCAGCCACAGGGCGCCCACTGTTTTGGCTGAGGGCCAACTGCTCAGCCTCTGTGAGTGGTGGTGGTGGAGGACCCCCACCTGTTTTCCGGGCCTCCGCTTTTTTTCTGTTGGCTGTGACAGCACACATTTGAGCATACAGAGTAGGCAAATATGTACTTGTGATGTGCTCAGATAGTTTCAATAAGTGCTCACAGAGGGGAAATTACTGTGGCCTCTAACTGCAATTGATTTACATAGGACACACAGACACTATGGCTCATAATACAATTACACCTTACCTGTTTGGACTATGTTCTTATATTTCATTTTTACTTGCTGCCAGGTACGTTTGGGGCCTGTTGGGTTGCACCTGCGCTCACATCACATCACATATTAATATGTAGAAAAGGACAAATGGGGTAACATATAATGAAATAACGTGTTAAATGGGTGGGAATCCCTAGATCAATGTTTAAATTGTCACTCACGCATTGACTCTGTCGGCTATGTTTTGCCATGCATGCTCCCTTTCCTTTGCAGCTGCGGCTGTGTTGCTTTTTTTCTGCATGATGTGCATGCTGTCGGCATATGCTGCCATCAGAATTTCCGCCTCGAGCGCTGTGAAATACGTCGCCCGCGCCTTCTTTCCCTCCGTCTCCATGGTGACTCGCTTAATCTGTGCTCCACTAATCGGGGCTTTAAATATCCTCGTGCGCGCGCTTGACTTGGGGTTGTGGCAACTCCGCGTTGATTGAACTAATTGTTATCAGCCTTTCTGAAACCGAATATTCCGAGTTGGACAGTTCGGGGTTACTCAACCGTGAGTATCGTTTTTCACTCTGAGTTTTCTAAACCGGCTTCCTGAAACAGGGCCCTGGTGAACAAAAAATTGGTTAAGGGTTCCCCGAGCTTTCACGCCCCTCGTGTTCTTCATGTGCCCACCATTAGAAGCATGCCTATGGAAAAAGTGCGCCGGCACACAGTGCAGTGCGCTTTAAAGGTGTTATCGTGCACTTTTCCAGCCAGGTGTTTTCCTTTTCCCATTCCTCCCTGTACTTTTGCAGCCTTTTTTTCTTTCTCTGAGGGGAACAAACATTGCTGCTCTAATGCTGGGCTTACACTGTGCGATTTTTGGCCCATTTTGAGACGATTTTTGAGTCGTGCGACCGATTTGGTGATCGGCCCGATTTTGGCCTTCATCGTGCGTCGTGTAGTATACGATTAACACCTAACGACCAGCTCCCGATAGTCAATCGCTTGTGAGCCGCTCACACTGCTCACGCGCAAACACGTAAACGTCGGTGAAAAAGACGGTGCAGCACGGCTGTGCAGCGTGTGATCTGGACACAAGCGATGGAGGCACAACTTGTAGAACTTTGGAAAGCTCATCCGAGCCTTTTCGATGTGGCATCACAAAATTATCACGACCACAACAACCGTGAAAATAGTTGGATTTACATTGCTGCTCAATCACAGCTGCCTGATTAATGTTTTTCATTAGCAGTTTAGCAAAGTTGATGGTGGTGGTGTGTCTGTGTGAGTGAAAGACAGAGAGAGGAGCGACAGATTTTCTGTTATAACCTTCATTTTATGGACGCACAGTGTGAGCACTCAGGTCGCATCAGAGCATCGGGCGGTATAGTGTGAGACCTGCATCGTGACCTATGAACTTCTAACCCCTGCGAGTCAATCGTGCAGTTTGAGCAGGAGCTGAATAACGTGACTGAAAAAAATCGCACAGTGTCTGCCCAGCTTTAGGTTTACTGTCGTCCGAGACTTGCACCGCAGTGTCGGCGTTTGTTTCCCTGTTGGCCATGCTTCTTGTTGTGGTCATCTGTTGTCTTCCGGTATTTTCTCCGCAAGCGACCTTTCCTCGACCAAAAGTTTTAGAAATTGTGCTATAAGAATCACAGTTAGGGTTAAAGCCATCAGAAAAAACTGTAATATAATGGCTGGCAGTCAGTCTTTGGTGCACTGGTAAGCTATACAGTTAGTGAAACTGGTTCACTGTGTTGTTATCTTGCTCCTGTTTTTTTTCTGGATACTGACCATTTGTCTCTTCTGCACAGATTCCTGGATTCTTTTCTCTGGTGTTGGGTGAGCCTAACCCGAGTTGAGAGGAGTTTCTTGTGTATAACTGGATGTTTAGACTCTTTTTCTCCATGGACCCTTTGATCACTGCTTCCCTCATTTTGCAGTGTGTTGTTGCTGACTTCACTGGAAATAAAACTGAACTTTGAGTTTCCAAGTCCAGCATTTGAGTCCAGCTGGCCTATATTGGCTATGATAAAACACAATTATAGGCTTAGCTTAGTACAAATTTAATATGAAGCACAGTCTGGGTGTCCTTTTTTAGGATCATATATGTCAACATTTATAGAACAACTGTTGTTAAGTCATTTGCTGTAGACAGAAAAAAAATCAAGCAACAAAATGTCTGAGAATCTATATTTATTACCGATGCTCATCAGGGAAATAGAAATACAGAAATCAAAGAGATTCTTCAGGAATGGTGATGCTATTTTTCAAACGTGTGCACCCACTTCTTGTTTTTAAAGTCATTAAGATATATGCTGTATAATCATTGAAGTTTGGAGCCACATCTCATTTCTATATATTTAGTAGAATAATGAGAACTAGTTGGGGGTGAGAGATGCAAATATAAATGAAAGTAGAACATATACAATTTGAACTAGATTTAAGGTTAATATTTGGTATGACCATGTGTATTTATTGATCTAGAGCCTGAACTTTTTTAGGCAAGCGTTATTGTGATTTTTTTAAGTTGCTTCTCCAGAATTATTGGATTTCTTCTTTGTATGTTGGCTACCTTTTGTGCTGTTCTCTGTCAAGCATGATCCTACACTGCTTCATTAATGATGAGAATGACAGTGTTCCATTGTTTGGTTTTCTATTCAGCTACAACTTTACTGCAATAATTATATAATTGTACTGCACTGGCAGTATGTTTGGGATGATTATCATGCTAAGAAATGAACCTGTGCCAACCAGCCATTCCCTAGATGGCATTGCATGGTGTATCAAAATCTGATGGCACTTTTCGACATTCATAATATGATTACACTTTACAAGATTCCCAACACTACTATTTAAATGCAGCCTCAAACCAGCTTTATCTGTTTATCTGCCTTAAGAATGGCTTCTTGACATCATCCCTTCCAGGTCCTGGTTCATTCTTTGCTGGATTGTTTTCCCTGTTTCTTAAGGACATGACATGCACATACTTGTCATTTGCTGTAAATAGCAGATGTAGCACATAATGCTGTAGATGTGCCAGCACAGTTTGACAGCAACAGAGCTGTGAGGTAGATGGATATATATAGAAAGAAAATGTTTTTATGAGGAGAAAAACAATACTTTTGCCTTAGCAAGACTTGCTTCAAGTAACCACTGCATGTCTGTGTTTGCAGTAGCAAAAAGGTATATTTTAAGCTGATGGAGTGATTGATATCCATGAATTCTGAAAGTTGTATATTATTGTTTTTATGAATTATTGGCAATTCTGTAAGTTTTGATAAATTTTTCTACATCACACTGCATTTAATCATTAGTTATTATTAATCTCTGGCTTTCTTACACAGTGTGGTTTTGTTCTGTCTTCTTCCCCTCACCCCCAACTGTTGTGGCAGATGGCTGCACCTCCCTGAGCCTTGTTCTGCCAGAGGTTTCTTCCTGTTAAAATAGAGTTTTCCCTTCCCATTCTCGTCAAGTACTTGCTCTTAATGTTTTGTTTGATTAGTGGAGTCTTTTTGTAGGGTTCTAAAAACACCATCTACAAAATCTGTGGACAATAAATGCTGACATTTCTTTTTGGTAAAAAAGAAATGTCAGCATTTACTGAAATGTGTGTGTGTGGGTGTTTGTGTGTGCCATGTTTCCAGCTTAAAAGAAGACCCATGCTGCTACACAAGCTTAGACACTTGTATTCGGTGGGGAAATTCCACTACGGGCTGCAACAGTAATTGGATGCAGCTTGACAGTCGGGGCGACTTCGCCTCAGTCTCCTGCCCGCTTATAAGCAGTGAAACACGATTGGTTGTTGTTTGAAACGACGGTGAAATATGAAAATATGGCAAAAATATTTAATGAAGCCTGCAGATTATTTAATAATATATAAGAAAATTACGTCAGAACTTCCGAGCGCTTTGAGCGTGGCATGCACGAACTGTCATTGGCTGCCCTTTGCATGCCTCTCCCTCTAAAACCCTTCGCTATAGAGCACACTGAAGGTTTGTGTACAGTTAACAATATGTATCAACTGTGTAATGGACCGTCCTCGGCCCTCATCGTAGCCACCTCGGAAATCAAATCACCGGTGTTCTCTCCATCTTCAATATCCGTTACGATAACGTCTCTAGATTGTGCATAAAGATGACGAGCCGGTATCAATGGCAGGAGAGAGCTACAGCGTCCCGTGCCGTCAGGTGAGATCATGGCAGGATTAACAAGTTAAAGATCCCTGGGGGAAAATGTTTGGTGGACCCTAGGCAATTTGTTTAGACTACCAATCTCTTTCTCTTTCTGATTACAGCAACCTGGCGTTTTCATTCAGATCCATCGAAAGTTTCGGGTCATATATCTCTGCGACTGTGAACTGTGAAGTGATGAAGGCAACCTCCGGAGCAGCTTGCAGTCAACTTCACAAGAATTTTAAAGTTAACTACAATGTTTTCATACTGAACTGGTTGATCAGAAATGCCAGTTTTCATAAAAGTTGGACATTCCTTTTTTGTTTTGTCCCCTTTTTAAGCTATTCTCTGTCATGCCTGTTTCATCCATCTTGGAGGTTTTGTGTGTGTGTTTCTAAATTTACATATATGTATACATAGACCTATAGATATACATACACGATACACACACACACACACACACACACACACACACACACACACACAGGTTTTTTTTGGATGAGCTATTGCCGGATGAGCTACAGTGGGATATTTACCTTTTTATTATATTTTTATTTTATTTTTTGCAGTATACCATCAAAAGCGATCCCATGGCGCCCTCACCTGCCCACATCACTCGCGAGGCAAACCGGCAGCGCAGGTAGTCACCCAACACATTCCTCGTCATGCATTGTTCTCACGTTTGCCGCGAGTCCGCTTCTGGACTGTAGTCTGGACT